GCCCAAATCAATCAATCATAGGCCAATTTGTAACCATGGTATTAAAATTTTGTTAATAAAATCGTCAGACTTTTATTCAACAAGTTGTTGATTTTTGAGGTTCTTTTTACTAAGTTGATGATTTGGGGGGTAGTTTTACGAATACTAAGATTTGGAAGGTAGGTTTGTAAATACCCATGATGTAAGGGGTATATATACAAATAACCGAAAGAAACAATATACAGGGAAACTTCTCAAGCTCTGCTTCCTCATCAACGAAATTAAAAATAATGCATTGTCGCCTAAAAGAGAACAAGTAAAGGGGTATACTAGATTCATTTAAATACAAATATGCTATGATTATGTGCTAACGTCCATTTATTTATTATCATGACTAATGTCAACCATCCCATTCATGCTGGCTGACGGCTACGTAGGTCCTGAATGAACGAAAAGTTCAAAATGAAAGAAAGAAGTTCGTGATTTCTCAAAGAATTTGATCTACCTGACGCCTGTGGTGCAATACGTAAACTCTAGCTAATAACATCATAAGATCTACAGAAGTATGGTATAACATTGCCCAAATTGAAATCCATGCTGCAAGAAGTCATACTTACTCCGAAGAACAAGCTAGAGCAAAGTCCTCCCATTTGTGTATGAAAATCTGAGAAACATCTTCTCTGTTAACAAAAAGAGAACTAATTAGTTATAGGTAAGGATATGGCGAATAATCAGGAATAGATAACTGATTAGTAACTTTTAGCCTTCACAAAGTCCTTAATTGTGATTCCATAGTTATTATTTGGCTAAACTACCAAATTGATATTTAAAAAAGGTCCATTCTACCATTTTGATATTTAAAATATCTCCGATGACGTTCTGGTATTTAAAGTGGGTCTAAGTTAGCACCTAGGTCCAAATTTTAGTCGTTGTAAAGTTTTCCGGCGAAACCCCTCACGTGAACATCACGTGATCCTTAATGACCGTTAGAAAACGCTAATGTGGCATGAATTAGTGATGTGGAGTTGATTAACCGATTTTGGGAGGGAATAAAAACGGGGATGAAACAATGAACTAGGGCACAACAAATTAGGGGAAAACTCAGGTTAGGGTTTATTTAGCTGAGGGGAGATATGCGAAATTGTTTCGGGAGATCTGAAGGATGTCAAGCGCGCAGTCGAGGATTGCCGGTGTCGGGAATAGTGGAATGGTTGCAAGATTGAACAAAATGCACTTCATTCAAAAGTGGAATGAAGAAGCAAAAATTTAGGGGGTAAAGAAGTGTAAGTGTGGATTAGATTGCATCTATCTAACCTCTTTCACTGATAAAAATCCTGGCAGAAGGTTCTACGGATGCCAAACGGTAACTTTGACTTCAATTTGATTTTTATTTTTGGGTGATTTTTTAATTCTCTAAAATTTGTTTGGACGAAATGTTCAGAATATTGGTTGTGGATTGTGGGAATGGTATGATCCGCCAATGTGGAAAGTTACGGCTAACAATGTTACATTAAACGCTAGGCGCTTCTAGGCGTCGGACTTGACACCCAACGCTTAGTCGCCTAGACGGACGCCTAAGCGGTTTCTGAGCGTTTTTTTTCTTTTATAATTTTTTTAATTGTGATACTTGAATATATATATATATATATATATATATATATATATATATATATATATATATATATATATATATATATATATATATAATATATATATATATACCTATATATATATATATTACTATATATATCTTATATTATATATATAATTATACTTATATTTATATTATATTAGTAAAAAGCGCAAGACTCCTATCAACTTAGAAGTTGATGTCCCAAAGTCTTGTAGCCACACATTTATTAATATAAAAACCTTTTTATATAATACATGGATCACTAGACATATGAGTGGTTAAAAAACTGTTCGGTGACAACACTATTCCTTCCACTTAGTTGACAAAGTTTATTCACCTATAATATATATATATATATATATATATTATATATATATATATATAATAATATATATATATATATATATATATACTCAATCAAAGATACATAAATACTAAAATACTAACACTATTAACTAAATTGCTTGGTTTACCAATTACAATATCTGTCATATGGGATGAGGCTCCAAAATCTAGTACCTATTATTCATGAGAAGTTATGTAAGCATCCATACCTGAAGAGGATGCATGAGTAACCGAATAACTGTTCTTAGAGAGCTCTAGCTGGCGTAATCTCTCATAATCTGCCTGAGAGATCTGAACAGTAGGAACAATAGCAGCTGGATTACTAGTAGTAGTAAAAATAGGTGAGCGAGTCGACCCGGCATCGACTACTTGGGCCCACTGAGGACGACCAAACTTCTCCCAGCACTTCTCAGAAATATGATTGGTCCTCCCACAGTGACCACACCGACGTGAACCCCTATCAGAATCACCCTGTCTCCCGCTAAAAGAGCCACGTCCTCCCACAGAATCACGACCACGACCACGACCACGACCGTGACCTCTGCCTCTACTAGAAAACTTGGCAGATTGATCCACTGAAGGTGGAGACGGTGCAGAAGTATCAGAAGAAACACCAGTAGAGACCTACATGACTCTAGAGAATGTAGCAGTCAGTGAGGGGATGATATCTCCACCCAATGTATGTCCTCTCACCTGGGACTGTAAGGCAGGGTGTAATCCAGAAAGAAACTTGGACACTGCCAACTCACGGCGATATCCCAACAGCGTCGCCGCATCAGCTACTGCAGGCTGATGCATCTCCAGTTCGTCTATCAGTCCCTTTAACTCACAAAAGAACTCCGGAACCGACCTATCTCCCTGTTTGAGCGCAAACAGTCGCTCATAAATCTCAAAAACACGTGAAGCATTCTTCTCATTCCTGTACATAATCTTCAGGTTGTCCCACATCTCCTTCGTAGTGGTTAAGAACATAACACTCCTACTAATCTGTGGTTCCGTGCTGTTGAGGAACCACGTCATAACACTTTCAAACCACGAAACTTGGATCCTTGAAGTATTTTCTGGGTATTGAGGTGGCTAGATCAAAGGATGGAATTCTCTTATCTTAGAAAAAATATGTGCTTGATATATTGCTAAATGCTAGGACATCAGAATGCAAGGTCATTGACTCACCTATGGATGACAAGGTCAAACTGCTACCAACTAAGAGGGAGCTACAACTAAAGAATACAGACGACTTTGTAGGAAAACTGAACTACTTAACAATCACGAGACCAGATATTACATATTCTATTAGTGTGTTTCTTCCAGCACTTAGTAAACCTCATATAGAAGCTATGAAGAGGATTTTTATGTATCTCAAGAAAACTCCAGGAAATGGAGTACTCTATTCAGAGAGCGGTCACACGAGAGTTGCAAGATTCTCAAATGCAGATTAGGTAAGTCCTTCGGAGGACAGACAATCAACTATTGGGTATTGTGTGTTTCTTTAAAGAAATCTAATATCATGAAAGAGTAAGAAACAGACTGTAGTCTCTCGCCCTCCAGCTAAGTCTGAGTATCAAGCCATGACGAATTTGACTTTTGAGCTAATCTGGGTTATAGATATATTAACAGTGATTGGTTATCCTCTGGAGTGTCCCATGAACTTGTATGGAGATAACAAGGCCACCATTCACATAGCTGAGATCTAGTTTTCATGAGAGGGCAAAACACATAGAGGTTGACTGCCACTTGATTCGTGAGAAGATTGAGATGAGAATCATTAGAGCCAAGCATATACCATCAAAACATCGACCTGCAGACATTCTCACAAAACTTCTTGGGAGAACACTAATGAATTTTATTTGTAACAAGTCTGACATGTATGATATGTATGCCCAGCTTGAGGGAAGTGTTGAGAGAGTTGTTTATTCCTTGTTGTTTAGTCCCACATTGCTTAGGGACAAACTCCTTTATTTTCGAAAACACTACTAATAACATCTAAGAGAGAGCTAACAATCTCTCTTGAGGGTTTTACATAAACACTAAGAAAGTTATCAAAGCTGTTGAAAAAATATGTAGAGTTCTTATGCGCTGGTGGGATGCATAATAGTAGGAAATCTAAAGTCTTATGGAGTTATGTTTGCCTTCCTAAAGCTAATGGTGGTCTTGGTCTATGGTGTTTGTTTTCGGTGAACAGAGTTATGATGCTAAAGCATGTTTGGGCCATTGTTTTGGAAAAAAGACTCCTTATGAGTTCATTTGATTCATGGATTTTATCTGAAAAATTACAGCTTCTTGACTATTGATGCTAAGCCTCATTTTTCATGGGTGTTTAGGAAAATCCTCAAGCTCAGAGAAGATGGACTGCTTTGCACTGATATTACGCACTCTGGGTACCATTGGGAAGGTGAGAAGCCCCCTTTTTCTTCTAGTTCTACATATCGTTTACTCCTTGATGATCATGCTAGAATGGATTGGCATTGATTGGTGCGGAACAAAATGTGCATTCCTAAATATTCTTATATTTTTCGGGTGACTTAGGATAGATTGCCTACTAAGAGTAAACTTATGAAGTATGGGGTGATTGATAATCATGTATGTGTATTGTGTACTGTGTACTGTGCAGTTTACATGTTGAGAATAGAGACCGCCTTTTCTTTGAGTGTGGTTTTAGTGGCTCTGCGTGGAGGAGTGTGATGAAATTTATTCAGAAGGATAATGCTCCCCTACAGTGGGATATTGTTTTGGCTTGGATGAGGAGGAATTGGAGAGGGAGTTCCTCAAATAATTGTATAAAGAGAGCTGCAGCTGCTGCTGTCATTTGCTATGTATAGAGAGTCAGAAGTTCTTGATTTTCCAGCACAAGCTTAACTATGGAAGATTGCATTCACTTAGCTAATTTTGACATCAAGATTCTATGCGGTGCCATTGAGAGGGTCAGATACTCAAGGAAAAATAGAGACTGGTGTAAAGCTTTGCACATCACCCCGGAGTTTGTAAAGAAGCAGAGAACCTGAGTTTTTTATTATTTGCCGCAGGTTATGTTTTGTTGTAGCTGATGCTGTTGGGAGGTTGTTGTGTATATTCTGCTTAATGAAGAATGTGTTTGTGAGAGAGTTTATTTGGTACAGGGTTTGGTACCTGCACTACAATGCACTTTTGGTAGTAAAGGTTCACTTGCTTACCAAAATTATAAAAATAGAGCAATTAGATTATAATTAACAAGTTAGGCACACAGGCAGAGTAACCTATAGATTTTGCAAGAGAATAGATATAACTATCTCAAACTCAAGGCCATGGCCACAAACTGAAATTTCTGGCAGGGGGTTGCAAGAATCAACTTCATAAGTAACCTGATTTATGGAGACAAGTGGATAAATAGAAAAATGATGTGAGTAACTAACATTTCATTTGCTTCTTGGTATGTGTGACTTGATGCAACAGCCAAAACTTGACCACCTTGGTTAAATGCTAATGACGCCACACTGTTAGGATGCCTTCCAATCTGCATCAAACATATAATATGGTTATCCAAGTTATACACAGGTTGTCTTAGCATTGTACCGTGAAGAAATGCAAATTTTAAGATTAAAGTGCAAACGGTGGGCTACTGTTACTAGAAATAAATAAAAAGAGATACACCCTTGTACTTGCCATTCATATTGAATTATACAGGTCTGAATGCTGTGATACAACCAATTTTCTTTGCTTGTCCGCTACACAAACTAAGAATTCTGTGCTGTTAATAAGGACTAAGATTTTTGTTCCTTACCATTGACCTCAGAATTCATGTAGATTCTTATCATGGATTAATATCAAACAATGTGGGCAACAATTCTGCAGACTCATCATAGGCAACATAGGGAGTAAGATTTGTTTACTTTTTCTTCACTTAAGTATTTATCTTTTAATATAATTTAAGAAGCATCTTCCTTTCTTTGTAGTTCAGGTCAAATCATTTATGATTTATGCTATTATTTTAGGAAGTGAAATTGTTACTTTATTGATTAGAAAAAGTATGCATTTTAAATTAAAATGCAGAAAACTCATTCAAATCAAATATATAGCCCTCAAGGGTTTTTTATGCTGTTATTCATATTCTGAATAGTTGCATCCTAGCAGCAAGACATAGTATATGGCTGTACTTGACTATTGCTCTCCACATGCAAATATGAAACATTGATATCATTATTGAAAATACTATTACCATGTTTGATAAGATATAAATCTCCAAAGTTAGCTATCATCAGTCACTTGTCTAAGCATATGTCCTATACTCTAGCAACTTGTGCATTCGAATACAGATGAAAACACAAGTGTATAGTGGCATCATACACAATCAGAATAATGCTGCTTTTATTAGAGCCTGACCATGCCTAATTTTACTTGAGACATCAGTATAAGAAACCTTAAAAAAAGTACATCTGACTAATCTATTGCCAAGTGGCCATCTTATAGTCAGCTAATTACAAGAATCAAAAGAGTTCGAGCTGAGCTACAAACATTTATTAATTAATCTCTTTAATTTTCAGAGGAAATTTGGATGTCTCGACACTGTCAAAGTCAGATATAGGACAACAACATAACATTCATATACGTTAGATTTGCGGAAGAGACATCACATGATTGAACCTGAAAGATGAATGATCTACATGATGAATTTTTTTTAATACATATAATGACACCTTATGGATTTTGCTTCTCGAACGTGTGAAAGTATTATTTCCTTTTCTGAATGCATATATAGAAGTAGAGCACATAAATCTGGTTCCTACCTATGTATATTTTGACTGAGTGTGAAACCCATAGCTTTGTGTGAGGAAATGTTATCTCTATGAAGATAAGTGTGTGACCTGCTGGAATGTTATGTGATTCTGCTATTTGGTGCCAACTGTTAAATAACGAAGGGGGGATATATTCCTTGCATCGCAGGTGTCTTTGTCTAAGACATGACATGCTAAAATGGTACAGAGCAATAATGGTTCTCTTTCATGTGTTTACTAGATCTGAATTATAATGTTCACATGTATTTTCACTTCCATATAGAAAATGAAGCAACATATAGTGGAATTCATATGCTTTTCCCTCCAACACGGACCTCTGTTTGACTTTCACAGACAAGCTAGTGTGCCTGTCCACTTGGTGCTTCTGATATGGCATGTGGTCTTTAGCTTTTCACAGGTCCGAAGACTCCAAACTTACTTATTGCACTTCATTTACTCAGCTGCAGCTTTTAAATAGAAAAAGGGTTCCATTTAACAATAGAAGTATTTGATACTCTAAAGATTGCCGACATCATTGCAGGTAGCTAGGCTTTTAATAGGGTGACGGCCATAAGCTTGAGAGCAGTTTTTCATACATGGTGACATTTGCACTATAAGAACGCTGAATTCCACATGAAAAAAAGGATAGAAAAGAGCTATTCATTCTTAAAAATTATCTTCCTCATTTTCTTCTGCTATTTAAAGTTGAAGCATCTGGTCAGTCTTTCTTACAGCTGTTTGTTACCACATGAAGAACTGTTTGTCATTTAAATTTTCTCTTCTTTTTTACCGCTGGGAGGCTTACTACTGTCTCAGTTTACTGAAGAGGCAGTATCAACACTTACTGACTTCTAAGACAGAAATCTCATCTTGATCCACAGCCCTGGAACTCAAAGTGCATAAAGAAAGGGAGGCCTTTCGACATTATTTTATTTTATATTTTCCAGAGAAGTGAAGTCAAGCTATCCTTATACACGAAGTGACAATTTCTATTACTTTATTCTGCAAGACTCGATGTAATAGGGATGCATGATGACTGTAACTTACAAGAAAGCATTTTGAGAATCAAAGATGCATGAGCATAAAACATCTCAGCTGAACCCAATTAAACATAAAAGGTGGAGTATATAACTGAAGGAATACCTCAAACAGTCTTTTCCTACTTTCAGCATTCCAGATGATTGTGTGTCCTTCATTATCCCCAGTAACAAAAGTCTTGTTGCTGCATAAGCAGATCTTATATTTTTCAAAACTTTATTCATGAACACCATTTTGAAAGAATTAAGAAAGTTGAGGAGCATACAATGGATGGAATTTGATATCATTCACAGCAACAAGGTGAGACGATCGATCTTTCGACTTTGGATGACACCAAAAGGCATATCTATAAAATACATAGATGGAGTAAGTCACCAATGGACAAATTTGTCAGATAAAAAAAAACTTATGAGGTCCAGTTGAAGTTTCCTGGAAAACATTATCTGCTTCCAAAAAAAACTATATGTGATTTAAGAAAGCTTTTCACAGTGTAGCATTTGAAAACAATTTGCAGACATCTAGGAGTCAAACGTTTTTGCAGGGAAAACACTTATCACCAGAAAAATAGCATGACAGTCAACAGAAACAATAATAACCAAGAACTAACCCCATGGCAGAGTCCTCTGAAGGATCATAATATTTTAGCTCAACACATCCATCAATAGATCCCACTGCATATCCTGGTGAGTATAAAGAAGAGATAAGACAGTTGAAATGCTGATGTATGCATGGTTGTTGCTGAATGAACAATAGGAGAAAGCATGTTTTAAAGGTCAGATAACTGCAATATGTACAGAGACAACAGAACAAGATGTAACTCTCAGTTTACATAGTCCGTGAATCTCTTTGTGCTACATCAGAAAGGAACTTTCAAGTTTATAGCAATTATTTGCCTATCCCAAAGTCATACCAAATTATACATGTGAAGATACCAAATATGCAAGGAACTTGATATCTACAGCTCCACTCCCCCAAACACACTGCTCCCACCTCAACTCCCCTTCCCTCAACCCCTCTGAACTCAGATAAAACAGTAGCGACAATAATAAATAGCTAAATAAATAAATAATCAGAACTATAGGTGTTTATTGGTAAATCATCAACTTTAAGATAGAAACGGCTAAAGAGAAGTTACCTTGGCAACTAGTAAATGGGTGAACACGCCATATCTGGTACTTTTTGCTGAAGTCTTTTGATTGGACTGGTTTTTCTATGTTGCGCAAGTCATAAATGACTACCTCTGTTCCAATAGCGGCCAATAAATGAAGACCAGATATTGAAATGGACCACACCTCTGAATCTGTTGCTTTTATGCTTCTAGCATCTCCCTTTTTCATGTGAAAATCCCAAAACAGCAACTTTTTGTCCAGACCTGCAGTAATAACTTGGCCTGCAAATCAAAAGTCACTTGCCACTTGAAAAGCAGAATAAAGTATATGATCAGTACTAAGATAGCTTCCTTTATTTTTGAAGAAAATCTGTAGTTATACTTTGTGAGGATTTAAATCCCTTCCTCTAGCGTAGTATATGAGGATTGAAATCCCATAATCTTGCATGCGACATGAGGCTTTACCACAGGCATACAATGCCATCATGGCATTAAGGTTGTCTGGTTAGTATTCATATTTCGTAGGTGGCACTACTCATTATCATGAGAAACTTGGGCATCGAAAATTCAATTATTCCTTTGTTTTTCTTTTCTTTTATTGAGTACTCTGAGGTAAAGGGTAGCATGAAGGATAGTGATTGATGTGAGTGGAATGAAGACCAAAATGAAGTGCTGCCCACAAGCATAGAATGTGTCAAACATTTTTCTAAAATTACTTCATTGTTTTAGGAAACAAAAAATACTTCTAAAACTTTACCACTTCAGGAAATGATATCAGCTAGTTCAGGGTTAAAAAAATGGCTACCATTGCTTTCATTATCCGGATTCAATGTTCACTATATTCTTGAAAGCGGGAAGTTGAGGTCATCTTGGTCAAAGTTCAGATGTAATGTGGAATAATATCAAAGAAATCAGAAATGTACCAGGATCCAGTCCCACGTATGGATAGCTTATTTTGAATGCTCACAGTGCCTCAATTAATAGTTAAAATATTTTTGGATAATAATCTTCTGTTCAATATAAGAATCTCCATACTTAATAGAAGTTACCATATTTCTTGTTGGTTTTGGGTGTGTAGACCGAAACCTGGGAACAAAATCAACAAGCAGGAAAACCTCCTGATCAGTCGACTGATAGAGAAGCACCAGTCGACCGATTCGACTGTAAGAAACAACCTGAAAAAATCGCTCTGGTAAGTCGATTGATGGGGTGCCATCAGTCGACTGACAATATGCATGAAGCAGTTCTGAGAAAGAATTGTTCTTGTCAGTAGACCGGTGCAAGTGCATTGGTCGACCGATATCGGGTCAAGCGGTTTCCTGGCCCGTTTTGGAATCTCTGAGTTAAGGTTTGTATATATTCTTGAACGTCCTTTTGAGAGGTAGTACACGAAAAAGAGAGAGAATCTCTGAGTTAAGGTTTGTATATATTCTTGAACGTCCTTTTGAGAGGTAGTACACGAAAAAGAGAGAGTTTTGAAAGCACTTTGAGAGAGATCTCAGAGAGAGTGATAGCCGTTTGCAGGCATTGTAATCTTCTTCAATAATCAAGGAAATTTCTGGTGTGGCTCCTGAGGACGAAGACACGTTTGCCGAACCTCGTTAAATATGGTGTTCTCTTCTTTTATTTGTTCTTTTATGCAAAGTTTTTATTTTATCGTGATTTCTTGCTTGCTAATTATTCGTCACAAGATTCGGAGGGCACGGGTTGTCGATAGATTAACCCCAACAATTGGTATCAGAGCTTTGTTCGGCAAAGATCTGTGTGAGAGCTATAGCAGAAGAAAGCAAATCGAAGATTGAGAAGTTTGACGGATCAGACTCCGCCTACTGGAAGTCGCAAATGAAAGACTATCTGTACCAGAAGGATATTTACTGTTCGTTGATGGGAAAAGCAAAGGGAAAGAAGGAGGAGGAGACAAACAAGGACTGGAAAATACTAGATCGGAAGGCTCTATGGCAGATCCGGTTGTCGCTCGCAAAATCAGTCACCCACAATATATTGAAGGAGAAGATGACAGTGAGGCTTTGGAAGCGCTCGCAAAGATATATGAGCAACCATCAGCTGCAAACAAGATGCATCTCGTCAAAACACTCTTCAACCTTAAGATGGCAGAATGATACTCTTTCACGTTGCAGCTCAGTGAGTTCAACACGATTGTTGATCAACTCATCTCAGTCGACATTATTTTTGATGATAAAGTACAAGCCCTACTGATACTATCGTAATTGTCAGATAGTTAGACACGTTGCATGACTACAGTTAGCAACTCGACAAGAAAGAAGAAGTTAAAGCTGAACGAGGTTGTTAGTATGATTCTATCCGAGGAGGTTAGAAGAAAGTCGACTGAATCAAAGGCTTCAGGTTCAGCCGTAAATTTCGAGCAGAGAGGCCGAAACTAGAATAAAGGTAATCAGAACAGGAAGCGGTCGAAGTCGAAGAAGAAGAGGTCGAATTCGAAATAAGGCTTATCAAAGGAAAGTGTTGGAACTACGGTAGGAGGGCCACATGTCTTAAGTCTGCAAAACGTCAAAGAAGAATACAAATAAGCAGGAGACTTATATTGTGCAAGATGCATTGATCGTTGCTGTGGATAATGACACTGATTCATGGGTTATTGATTCGGGAGCCTCATTTCACGCCACTGCTAATAGGAAGCTTCTTCAGAACTATATAGCAAGGGACTTTGGAAAAATATACTTGGGGGATAACGAGCCTTGTAGTATTGTGGGAAGAGATGATGTGCAGATTCGGATGAAGGGTTCTAAGTGGTCTCTGAAGAATATCAGACATATACCGAAGCTGAAGAAGAATCTTGTTTTAGTTGGCTAGTTTGGAGCGGAAGGCTATATTTCGACATTTATCGAGGATTCGTGGAAGATCTCTAACGATAGTATGGTGATTGCTCGCGGTAACAAAATTAGAACTTTCTATTTAACTTCACATGCGAGTGACACCCTTGCAATTATAGATGGCAAGGAAAGTGCAGATCTGTGGCACAATAGATTAGAACATATGAGTCAAAAAGGTATGAAGATTCTACACTCACAGGGAAAGCTATCCGGTATCGATTCAGTGAAAGTTGGTGTTTGTGAAGATTGTATCTACGGGAAGCAGAAGAGGGTCAGCTTTCAGAAGAGTAGAAGATCACCTAAAGCTCACAAGCTAGAGCTTGTTCATACAGATGTATAGGGTCCAGTTAGCATGTCTTCTCTTGATGGTTTGGCGTACTATGTCACCTTTATCGACGATCACTCGAGAAAGGTGTGGGTACTTCATGAAGCACAAGTCAGAGGTGTTTGAGATCTTCAAGAAGTAAAAAGTTATGATAAAGAACGAGACAGATCTGAAGGTGAAGTGTTTGAGATCGGACAATGATGAAGAGTATGATCTGAAGGAGTTCAAGAAGTTCTGTGGTCTGAATAAGATTCGTTTAGAAAAGACTACTCTAGAAACACCGTAACAAAATGGTATTACAGAGAAGACGAACAGAACGCTGACAGAACGTGCGAGGAGCATGCGTCTATATGAAGGTCTACCTAAGATGTTTCGGGCGGACACAGTGCATATAGCAGCTTACTTGATAAATCATGAGTCTTCAGTTCTATTAGACTTTAGGATTTCAGAAGAGGTTTGGAGTGGAAAGAAAGTAAATCTCTCACACTTGAGAGTCTTTGGTTGAGTGACATATGTTCATATCAGTGACCTTGTTAGGAACAAGCTAGAAGCTAAGTCACAGAAGTATACATTCATTGGATACGACATTGAAAAGTTGGGATATCGTCTGTGGGATGATAAGAACAGGAAAATCATCAGGAGTAGAGATATCATATTTAATGAAGAAATAATGTACAAGGACATGGATAATGGTAATGATAACCAAAGCAGTGGGAGCAACACTAATGATGCAGTTACATCCAAGTATATGGATTTAGAGGAACTTTCAGATGGGGGCTTCAGGCAAATCCCCGAGTATGCAGTTACATCCAAGTACAATGTTCATATTAGAGGATGCAGTTCTGACCAAAGAACGGAGGAGACTCCAGGTGCAGAGACTAATACCTAGGGTGAGGAGCTTAGGAGATCATCCAGAGTACCCAAACCAAATCATAGATATCTTTCATCGCTACATTACTTACTTTTGATAGACAGTGGAGAACCGAAGTGCTATGAGGAGGTAGCGCAACATAGTAAATCTCAGCAGTTAGAGCATGCGATGTAAGAGATGAATTCTCTTCACTCGAATGAGACAAGGGAGTTAGGTAGGCTACCTGCGAATAAGAAAGCCTTACATAACAAGTGGCTCTACCGGGTTAAGCAGAAGAGTGATGGTAGCAAAAGATACAAGGCCAGATTAGTTGTGAAATGATTCCGACAGAGAGAAGGAGTGAATTATACAGAGATATTTTTCCTCGTTGTGAAGCTTACAACCATCAGGATGGTGTTGAGTTTAGTAGCTGCTAAAAATTTATCTTGAGCAGTTGGATGTGAAGACTGTCTTTCTTTATGGTGACTTAGATGAAGAAATCTAATGAAGTAACATGTTGATTTCATAGAGGAAGGAAAGGAAGAGATGGTATGTAGGCTCAAGAAGAGCTTATACGGCTTGAAACAGGCTCCACGACAGTGGTACAGGAAGTTTGATAACTTCATGCAGAGCAATGGCTATAGAAAGTGTAATTCAGATCATTGCTGCTACTTCAAGAGGTTCAAGTCTAGCTATATCGTGTTATTGCTGTATGTAGATGACATGTTAGTTGTAGGGACATGTTTACAGGAGATTAACAAGTTAAAGAAGCAGTTGACAAAGGAGCTTGCTATGAATGATTTGGGTGCGACCAAGCAAATTCTTGGGATGCGAATCAGTCGAGATATAGCTGAAAGGACGTTGAAGTTGAGTCAGGCTGAATACATTGAGAATGTACTTCAGAGATTCAACATGCAGAATACAAAGACCGTTTGCACGCCCCTTAGAAGTCAATTCAGATTATCTGAGGAACAATCGCCCAAGACGGATGTAGAGAAGGAGTCCATGACCAGAGTACCATACTCATCAGTCATTAGTAGTCTTATGTATGCGATGGTTTGCACGAGACCAGATATCGTCTATGCAGTGAGAATTATGAACATGTTTGCTAACAATCTAGGAAAGCAGCATTGGAAGGCCGTAAAGTGGATACTAAGATATTTGAAAGGGACTACAGATATGCCACTGTGTTTTAGAAAAAAATTGCTACTGTAGGGATATGTGGATGCAGACTTTACCGGTGATCATGATACAAGGCGAAGTACCACAGGATATGTTTTTACCTTAGGATCGACAGTAGTGAGCTGGATCTCAGGTTTGTAGAAGATAGTGATGTTGTCCACGACTGAGGTAGATTATGTCGCAGTGACTGAAACTAGCAAAGAGATGATTTGGTTGACCAGATATCTGGAAGAGTTGGGTCTGAATCGGAGAACATAGTTTTTTATTGTGATAGCCAGAGTGTTATACATCTTGCCAAGAATCTAGTTTATCATATCAGAACGAAGTACATCGACGTACGTTACCACTTCATACATTCGTTGATAGAGGACGGGAATTTACTATTAGAGAAAATTTTGGGGAGCCAAAATCCTACAGATATGTTGACAAAGACAGTGATCATTGAGAAACTGGAATTGTGTGCAATTTCAGTTGGCCTTCATACGTAGGAAATGAGGACAAAGCCACACTAGGAGGATAAGTGAGATCACCAAGGATGATATTGATTGAAGAAAGAATTTTTTCAGGAAGGCGAAGGTGCTTGCGAAGAGAAATAGCCTAAAAAAATTGCTCTGGTAAGTCGATTGATGGGGTGCCATCAGTAGACCGACAATATGCACGAAGCAGTTCTGAGAAAGAATTGTTCTTATCAGTAGACCGGTGCAAGTGCATTAGTCGATCGATATCGGGTCAAGCGGTTTCCTGGCCCGTTTTGGAATCTCTGAGTTAAGGTTTGTATATATTCTTGAACGTCCTTTTGAGAGGTAGTACACGAAAAAGAGAGGGTTTTGAGAGCACTTTGAGAGAGAGATCTCAGAGAGAGTGATAGTTGTTTGCAGGCATTGTAATCTTCTTTAATAATCAAGGAAATTTCTGGTGTGGCTCCCAATGACGTAGGCACGTTTGCCGAACCTCATTAAATTTGGTGTTCTCTCCTTTTATTTGTTCTTTCCTGCAAAGTTTTTATTTTTTTCATGATTTCTTGCTTGCTAATTGTTTGTCACGAGATCCGGATGGCACAAATTGTCAATAGATTAACCCCAACGTTTCTTAGTATGATGAAAATTATAATGCAACCTCTCTGTATTGCATCTAGAATTAGTTAGTTGACCACATACCAGTTTGCTCAGAATATTCAACATATATGACCGAGTCGGCATGCTTTCCAACAATAGCTTGAGTGTTTGAACACAAATCATACCTGAGAACATTTATGAAAGACTGAAATGAATCGAGTCATCAGGTTGAAAATAAAACACAATTTCGTATGGAGCTATAGTTCAATTAAAAAGTCTACGTTCATTTTTTCTTTTTTATTTCTCTTCAATATAAGAGTGCCAAATAAAATTTTGGTGCATCTAAATAGGTGCCATAGCTAATGCCAGTAAGAAATAATCATTGATTAGCCATTACAAATGATATTAATTGGTTTTGGCTGACTAGATTAGCATGCTTAAAATCTATGCAATACAATCAATATGTCTTGAGCTGCACATTTAAATGTTTTACCAATAGAAGATGACTGACAAAAGGCTTTATGTGTAAGTACATTATCAGCATCCAAATAGCCACATTAATGGAAATAGAAATGTGGAGAGAAGCAACTAGAGATATAAAAAATATGAGGCTTTTGAGTGGTTGATCGGCATCAAATAGGTTCCTCAAAAGGTGAAATACTGTTGATTTGTGGTGCACTATGTGAAGGGTGAAACATAAAGTTTACGTCTTTTGTTCATACGAGCAGTTGAAAAGGGGGTGATATTAGAATATGAAGTGGAGAAAATAAATGAGCTAGACAAATCATAACCTCTGATAATCACATTTTATTACAATTTTATACCCTCATTATCTATTTTATATGAATAAATATACCACTAATAATTGTTTTTATCTTTTAATTGCAGGTTAATGAAGAATAAATCTCAACTTCCCATCTCTCAACAAAAACCCATTGATTAAATGAAGAAATGAATCAAGAAGCCAATTGGAAAATCAATTTCCAATCTATCCAAAAGCCCAAGTTAAGATGAAGGATTAAAAGAAATATCAAAGCCCAAAAGCCCAAGCAAAAGCCCAAGATCCAAGCCCAAGAACCAATGAAAGAGGAGTTCTGCGGACAGCAGCTAGAAGCAGGCAGGCATCGATGCCAGCATCGATGGGGGCATCGATGCCCGCATCGATGCCCGTATCGATGCTGGTATCGATACGCTGGGCAGTTTGTTACGAATCAAAGGCTGAAAATTGATGTTTTTGGATAAGATTTCAATCCAATGGCTCTCATTCACTGATGTTTACTATAAATAGGGGTAGAGAGTGAGGGGTTAGAGGTGTGAAAATTTTGTAAACTCCTTTTGGAGAGGAGGGCAACTCTTAATTGAGAAGGCCTTCCAAAAATTGTAACTTTAGTTGCAATTAATAATAATAATTTTTTCACCACTTTAAATATTTCTTCTCTTTGTTGGATGATGAAGATGGAGATGAAGAATTATTTAGAGGTTTGCATTTTCTTTCCTTTTTCTCTTTTATTTCCTTTTTATTGCTTATTAGTGTAGATTTATTTCTATGCTTGTAGTTTAGATTTTATTTTCTTGTTAAATAGCCAAGAGGCTAGAACCCTCTTGCCTTAGATTTATTTCATGCTTATAGAATAGATTTAATTTCTTGCATTTAATTCTTGTAATTTTATTTTGTAGTTTAGATTTTAATTTCTTATACTATTCACCTTGAGGCTAGAACCCTCTTGGGTTTAGTTTTTCTTTTTGTTTATTTTTATTTTGTTTGATTCGCCTTTAGGCTAGAACCCTCTAGGGAATCACCCTTTTCTAAGAAGTGGGTTCAATTGTAGATTACCCATATCTATAATTGAATCCACCATCTTTAATTTCTTGCATTTTCTTTTATTCTTGAATTTTATTTTCTTTATTCTTGATTTTTATTTTCCTTTTCCTTCTTGCCTTATTGATCATATTCATTCTTTGTCACATCCACTCTCACTTATATCTCGTGCCGATTTACACACTATCACTTCCACTCTCTCTATCTCTCCACAATCACATTCACTTATCACTCCTACTTGTCACACACACAACATAAGAACCGATTTTATATTTTCTCCTACAAAACACCTTCCTCGTGGGATCGATATCTTAAATACTATAACTTGACACGGTTGTGCACTTGCAACCTTTTTGGTACATGTTTATGCCGCATCAAGTTTTTGGCGCCGTTGCCGGGGAAGGTGCTTAAGTAGGTTTTAATTATTTTGGTTCTTTAACTTGTGTGTTTATTGTGAAAGAACTACTTGGAGATTAAAGATCAAGAATTGGAGATTGAGGAATTGGATATTCGCTTGTGGTAAGTCTTCTTCCTTATATTTTCAATTCCACACCTTTAGTTAGTTTCTCACAATTAGTGACAATTAGGATCTTAAAAAAAAAAGATTTTATTTCCATTGACCATAATAAAATTCACCCTCTAATTTTCTTTCTTTTTTTGAAAAAAAATAAAAAATAAAAAAAATAATAAAAAGAAATATTTTGGTGTATGCAACAGTGGATTAGGGATAATACACATCGATTAATTCGCTTTGAACCAATCATAGAAATGGAGCATCCTAATCCACCCGTTCTTCATGATATGTGCTATCCCATTAGGAATGCAATCCCCTCATGCATTAGGCTCCCCGAAACAAATGGAATAAGTTTTGAGCTTAGACCGCAATACATAAACATGCTTCCCAAATTCCTTGGTAATGAAACAGAAGACGCATATATTTTTATTTCGGAATTTGAGGAAGTGTGTATTATGATTAAAATGAGAGAATTAAATGAAGATGCGGTTAAGCTTAGATTTATTCCATTTGCTCTTAAGGATAAAGCTAAAAAATGGCTGTACAGCTTACCAACAAATTCCATCTCAACTTGGGATGAATTTGTCACCGTTTTTCTTAAGAAATTTTTTCCTATTCATAAAACGGTAAAGCTTAGGAACAGCATTCAAAACTTTAAAATTATCCCGGGAGAACCTTTTTGGAAGTATTTTGACCGATTTAAAGATCTTCTCATCCAATGTCCTCATCACGGTTTAGAGAAATGGCGATTGTGCCAAATAATTTATGAGGGATTAGATTATTCTGCAAAAACTTCCTTAGAATCAATGTGCCACGGGGATTTTATGAGGAAAAATGCTGATGAAGCTTGGGAGTTTTTGGAGAGTCTTTCTGAAAAAACAATGCAATGGGAACAGTGCGATGACAGGGTTTCATCAGTTCCCCATTCTAAGTCTAGTGGTCTTTCCTTGGAGTCAAACATTGCTTCTGAAGCGAAGATGGCGACAATTCTGCGGAGGTTAGAAGCCTTAGAAATTAAGGAACGAGCTCCAGCTCAACTCAATCATGTTTCTTTCCCAGGATGTCATAATTGTCAGTCTCCTACCCACGTTTCAGAGGAATGCCCTCTCTTAGGAAACAATCATTCATTAGAACAGATGAACGCTGCATTCCAGCACCCTAGAAATGATCCATTTTCTCCAACCTACAATCCAGGTTGGAGAAATCATCCCAACTTTGCATGGAATCTAGGAAATTCTCCCGGAACTCAAAATTTCACTCCCGCTTCGACCCAACATTTTCCTAGGGGAAACACAGTTCCATTCAATTCTCATTCACAATTTCAACAACCCAATCTGCCGTATCAAAATCAGTCTCCTCCTCATCAAGCTGTAATTCAAACTCCTCACAATCCAGATCAAGATAAACGTCTCAATGTCTTGGAAAGGGGTTTAGAAACCATAATTAAGGCCTCTACTCAAACCACGAATATGTTGACTCAAACATCTAGCACGTTGAATTCCTTCATGCAATCAACCGGACAAATGCTCAACTCCAACACTCAAGCTATAGCTAGATTAGAATCCCAACTTGGTCAACTAGCTAGTGCCGTGAGTGAAAGAGAGAAAGGAAAATTTCCGAGTCAACCCGTGGTCAACCCTAATAACACAGGATGCAGTTCATCCTATGAAGCTCAAGTGAATGCAATCCATTCACTTCGGTCAGGTAGACAGGTCGATAATCAAGTGAGAACTCCTCCAAGTCAAACTCTTGATCCTGTACAAATTCCTTCTCCTTCTCCTTCTGATGAATCTATTCAACAATCACTCCCCTCAGATGACCAAGAACCTGAACCCGAACCTGAGCCTGCTTTTGATAGATTTAGACCGGTTGCTCCCTTTCCAGATAGACTCAGGTCTAGGAAACACTCTCCTCAAGAGGAGAAGATCCTAGAAACATTCAAGCAGGTTAAGGTCAATATTCCTCTCTTAGATGTAATTGAACAAATTCCATCTTATGCTAAATTTTTAAAAGAATTATGCACTAAGAAGAGGAGAATAAATGTTCCAAAGAAAGTATTTTTGGCCGCCAATATCAGTGAAATGTTGTCAAATCCTATACCTTTGAAACGTAAAGATCCAGGTTCCCCCATCATTTCATGTATCATTGGTAATACTCACATTGATAAGGCGCTTTTAGACTTAGGGCCCAGTGTCAATTTGCTTCCATATTCAGTCTATCAGCAATTGGGTCTAGGTGTACTGAACCCAACCAAATGCACCTTACAGTTGGCTGATAGATCTGTTAAGGTCCCCATAGGTGAGTTAGAGGATGTTCTGATTAAGGTTGAAGATTTTATTTTTCCAGTAGATTTTGTAGTTTTGGAAACACAGCCTGTTTCCAATCCCAAAGGACAGACACCTGTTATCTTAGGACGACCGTTCTTAGCCACTTCTAATGCTCTCATCAACTGTAGAACTGGTCAAATGAAGCTGTCCTTTGGGAATTTGACTGCTGATCTCAATATTTTTAATCCAGGGGACCAACCAAATAATCAGCCTCTAGAAATAAACTACATTCAGGAAAGATCAGAAGAAGAAGAAGAAGAAGAGTCTGATTTGAGTTTTGAGGAAATTTTTGATGAAGAGTTAGAGTTTTTAGAAGAAGCAGATCAGGTCCTTGAGAATAATAAAACTGTGTTAAACCTTTGCTGCTTTGAATTAAATTTTGAAAAACTTTTTCTTGATGAACTTAGATTCTTGGAGAATAATCAACAACCAAATTTTCAGAACTTCACAGAAGAATTGGTTGTTGGAAAACAAAACTTCACAGTACAAGAGCCTAAGTTCATTAAGAAATACAAAATGCATGACACCAATAATACCTACCTTACCTTGTTGCAAAAATCATTGAACACCCCAGAATACTTAGAATTTTAGTACATTATTGAGTATGTAGGATTCAATGTAGAACAAAAACTCTTCATGTTGAATATTTTATTCTACATTGTTTATTTTGTTGACTTCAAAATAATAAAAAGAATTTATTCTTCTCTCATTTGAGAGTTTCTTGTTCAGTTCTTAAAAAAAAAAAAGAAAAAGAAAAAAAAAGAATAAATTTTTGATTTCATCCTCCTCAAACCAAAGGTAATTACAGATTTTTATCAGCCGACCAAATGTAAGTGCTTCACTTCTTATCTGCTTTACTTTATGCATCATAGAGTTTGCATTGAGGACAATGCAAAATTTAGGTGTGGGGGTGAGAATTAGTTATTTTTTTCTTTATTTTACATTTTTAGTTACGTTTTCCCTTTTTTTTTCTTTAAAAAAAAAAATATCGTCACTTGCCAAATTGATAGAGTTATGTAATAATTGATTTATTTGATAAATTTAAAATTTTCTAATCCCTAGTTAGTTATTTACTTAAGTTCATCTTTTATGATAACTCTAAATAAATTTTTTAAGAAATGATTTTCAAAGTAGTATACTTTACTTAAGCCTTAACTTGGACTTTTATTTAAAATAATGAAAATTGTGTATGCTTAACTTAGAGTTGAAAATAATTTTTTCAAAGTGTCTTGATTTACATATTTTCAAAATATAAATACAAAAAAAAGAAAAAAAAAAGAAAAAGAAGAGTGCGAAAAAATGGGCACCAAAAACGAAAAAAAAAACTCTTGAATTCAAGGTGATTCTATCTTATAAAGCCTAAGCTGACCGAGTAATTAAGCCCAATGAGTATTTCCATACTTAATGACCTAAGCCCATTTGGGTTGGGATCCATTGGCCCAAAACTCGTTAAATGGTCACTTAGAAAGCACGTTAAAGTAGAAAAAAAATCACCAAGGATGAAAGAGTTAAAAAAAATATATAATAATAATAATAAATGTTTTATATATGGTCTTGGAAAATATTCTAGATCAAGCAACTTGAAAATTATTTAAAACAAAGAGTTAGCATGTTACTTTCAAAACTTTTAAATTAAATTTCTAAGTTTGGCTTGGTTTTGTATTGCTACAATGAGAAGATTTTCTTAAAATTATACCTTAGAGTTATATATAAATGTTTTCTTGAGTGATAACTGACTCCAATTAGATTATCTAAAAGTTATCAAGTGAATTTAGTTATTTACTGACTTCTTTAATTTGGCAAGTTGACCGAATTTTGTGGGTATATTCACTGCAAACCCTCACGAGACTACAACTCGTCCACTAGGATAACCTAGGGGTTTAAAGGCTTGTTGTATGCGCTAAATACAACCGCGATTCCTGCGAAAGTGAGTTAGGATTTTCTTTTTATTTTCTTTGCTAGAGGACTAGCAAAAGTTTAGGTGTGGGGGTATTTGATAATCACATTTTATTACAATTTTATACCCTCATTATCTATTTTATATGAATAAATATACCACTAATAATTATTTTTATCTTTTAATTGCAGGTTAATGAAGAATAAATCTCAACTTCCCATCTCTCAACAAAAACCCATTGATTAAATGAAGAAATGAATCAAGAAGCCAATTGGAAAATCAATTTCCAATCTATCCAAAAGCCCAAGCTAAGATGAAGGATTAAAAGAAATATCAAAACCCAAAAGCCCAAGCAAAAGCCCAAGATCCAAGCCCAAGAACCAATGAAAGAGGAGTTCTGCGGACAGCAGCTAGAAGCAGGCAGGCATCGATGCCAGCATCGATGGGGGCATCGATGCCCGCATCGATGCCCGTATCGATGCCAGCATCGATACCCCTATCGATGCTGGTATCGATACGCTGGGAAGTTTGTTACGAATCAAAGGCTGAAAATTGATGTTTTTGGATAAGATTTCAATCCAATGGCTCTCATTCACTGATGTTTACTATAAATAGGGGTAGAGAGTGAGGGGTTAGAGGTGTGAAAATTTTTGTAACTCCTTTTGGAGAGGAGGGCTACTCTTAATTGAGAAGGCCTTCCAAAAATTGTAACTTTAGTTGCAATTAATAATAATAATTTTTTCACCACTTTAAATATTTCTTCTCTTTGTTGGATGATGAAGATGGAGATGAAGAATTATTTAGAGGTTTGCATTTTCTTTCCTTTTTCTCTTTTATTTCCTTTTTATTGCTTATTAGTGTAGATTTATTTCTATGCTTGTAGTTTAGATTTTATTTTCTTGTTAAATAGCCAAGAGGCTAGAACCCTCTTGCCTTAGATTTATTTCATGCTTATAGAATAGATTTAATTTCTTGCATTTAATTCTTGCAATTTTATTTTGTAGTTTAGATTTTGCACTTTATTTTGTAGTTAGATTTTAATTTCTTATACTATTCACCTTGAGGCTAGAACCCTCTTGGGTTTAGTTTTTCTTTTTGTTTATTTTTATTTTGTTTGATTCGCCTTTAGGCTAGAACCCTCTAGGGAATCACCCTTTTCTAAGAAGTGGGTTCAATTGTAGATTACCCATATCTATAATTGAATCCACCATCTTTAATTTCTTGCATTTTCTTTTATTCTTGAATTTTATTTTCTTTATTCTTGATTTTTATTTTCCTTTTCCTTCTTGCCTTATTGATCATATTCAATAAAGAAACATATTAAAACATGAAACAAAGCTAGACAATCAAACTTATAGATGAATGGACTCCAAGTGGAAGCTTTCTATCATGTACTTCCTAGTGGTGAAGACCCTCTTTGGCTTGTCATGATATTGAGATAAACTAAATTCTTAAGAAGCTAAACATTGCCAAAAGCAGCAGATGCAGCAGAAAGGAAAAGAAAATTAAATGGATGGAGCATATTCAAGAAGTCAAAGAAAAGAGAAGTCTCAACCCAACTTGTGCATTTTGGGGAATAAAAAGTGACAATATTTCATTATTTTTTGGCGAAAATGATCATCCAAAACCAAAACATCATGAAAACTTAAGTTTCATAGGGGCCAATAGAAAATACATCTGTACAAAAATGACATAAACATCAAATTTTGCTCCCCACAGGAACAGTACGTTTTTTTGTCATATTAAACTATATTTAAAACAAATTTATATTAGAACCCCAAATCTTCATATTTCTATTTAAACCCAAAATCTATTAACTTGTTTTAACTAACACCCTTTAATACCATCTTGGATCCCAAACTATTTCTTAATTTAATATTAGGCCCAAAATCATCATATTTCTCAATAACACCCCAACCCACCCACCACCCACCCCCAAAAAAAAGACACAAAAATCTGCTCATTCCAAGAGCTAACAATACAATAATAATGATGTTGGGCTCTGATACCACTTATTGGGTTCTGATACCACTTGTTGTGCGCGGCGGAAGTCAAAACCAAACCGATGTGCTACGAGAGACCAAATCAAACAAACGTCGAGAGAATGCCAAACAATGCAAAATAATGGCACAAACTCAAATAATCAATTTTAACATGGTTCGGCAAGTTGCCTACGTCCACGGGGCAAGAAGGGGATGTGGTTTTCACTAATAGAGAAGAAGAGTACAAGCTAAGATTACAAAATCACACAAACTCACCAATTAATCTCACCAACAAATCTCTAATTCTCTCCAAACAAAACTCTAACCAATAGCTCAGAAAATACCATTTTTTTGTGCTCCAAATATCCACTTCGTTGCACAATTCTCTCTTCCAATTTTTCCATATATATAGAAATCCGAAAACCAAAAACATACTAGGAATTCTAAAACCAAAATCAAAACATTTTAGGAATCCTAATAATATGTTACCAAAACGGGTTAGGAATTCCAATAACCTGTTACCAAAACAGATTAGGAACCTGCCTGCTATCCAACAAATGATTATGAAAAATTCTGACCAAGGAGTTCTATTTAAAGCAAATTAATTGAATTGGGGGTATTAATTGGAAATATGAGGATCTGGGGTCTTATATGAAATTTAGAAACAGCTCAGAATATAATATGGCACTATCACACAACTACTGCTGCTGCCACNCAGCCAAAAAAAAAAAAAAAAAATCAAGGTTTGCATTTTTAACTAAAGATGAAATCAAATACATCATAAAACTTTCACCTTCTTACGCATCCATCGGAGCCAGCAGAAAGAGCAGTAAACTCATCCTGGAAGCAGCAATCGAGAAGCGCTCCTTCTGATTGAGCTTCAAATCTCATCACGGACCCATCCACATCATACAGCCGAAGTATCTGCAACTTAAATCCTGAATAAAAATTACTTTTTTCACGAGAAAGAAACTGAAGCGAGATATTTAGAAGAACTTACAGAATCCCAAGAGGAGATGAGGAGATTGTTAGAGTTTGGGGCGAATCGGATCTTAGAGATCGAGTCTTCAATTGGTTTCTTGAGATCTAAACGAGATTTTTCCATTTTTTGCTCCGTGACTTTTGCCCCAATTCGGGAGCAGTTTTGCTGGGCGTGAACAAAACCCTACTTTGAGTTTGGGCGGGAAAAAGGCTGAAGGTCCAAATGAGGGTAAATTGCTTCAATTGACTAGTCAAAATTAAAACAAAAACTGAACGGAAAAAAAAAAGAAAATTTTAAAATAAAGGGTTCGTTAAAAGTGTATCTCGTGAAAATAGTGTCAATACATAATTAATAATTTTAAAAAAATTACTACTGTTTTAAACTAGTATTCATATCTTCCAAAAAAAAAAAGTCACAACATTAGTAACATTATTGGATATACTACCCAATCTGGACCCAAGTGTATAATGACATCAGTAACATAAAATACATCATTAATAGCAAAGCCACAACTAGGCTGAACTGCAACGCCAAATATATCACCAAATTATGTTAGGGCATCTCCAACAGTTTCTCTAAAATTTTCTTCAAAATGGGGAAGAAAAAGTCATATTCTCCAAATTATTTTTACACCAACTCCAACAGCTTCCCCATTTTGAAGAATCCATTTTTTTATTCAAAAATTTGGTGAATGCTGCAGATTTGGGGGAGCTTCCCCATTTTTTCTCAAGAATCCCTATTTTGGGGAATGAGATGGAGAATCTATTGAGAGCATCTCCAACAGCTTCCCCATTTCTCAATTTTAGAGAATTTAGTTAGGTTTTTGGCCCAACAGATTCCCCATCTCATTCCCCAAAATAGGGATGGAGGAGAAAAAATGGGGAAGCTTCCCCAAATCTGCAGCATTCTCTAAATTTTTGGAGGAAAAAATAGATTCTTCAAAATGGGGAAGCTGTTGGAGTTGGTGTAAAAATTAGTTGGAGAATTTGACTTTTGCTTCCCCATTTTGAAGAAAATTTTGGCGAAGCTATTGAAGATGCTCTGAACCAAAAACCTAACTATATTCTTCAAAAATGAAAAATGAGGAAACTGTTAGAGATGCTCTTACACTATCAAATACGTCATCAGGTAATGAGTTATTGGGTGGCAATTTTTTAATAGGATCGAATGGGGTCTTGGACCAAAATGGTATCGCATTGCCTATATGGTAGATAGGCTCGCGTCTGAGTAGATAAAATCTGCTATGCATCACCCCCAATTATTTACAGACCACGACTTTTTTCAATAATTACTCTTTTTTGCTCCACTCAGTTCTCATATGCTTTCTTCTAGGATCCATATCTCTTCACTATAAAAATAAATAAATAAATAAATAAATAAATAAATAATATAGGGATTTCTACCTAATCATAATTATTGATAATCTAGTTGGTGATTATAATTTTTTTCTGTAATTGCAACTTAGGAATGAGTGCAATACATTGGGGTACAATTAGTGTTAGATTTAGAATGTATCACAGTCACTCTAAATAATCAATGGTTAGAATAAAAAATAAGAGTCGCTCCACTACTTTTTTGTGGTGTAGAGGATCTAAATTCCTTTTTTCCATCATAAATTAGATTCTACAAGAATATAGTTCTTTTAATTTAAATACATTTTCGGTTAACTAAATGAAGAACGACTTTTGGGGAATTTTTATTTTACAGTTTAAAGATATAAAACTCCAGAAAATATTGTGTGATGCATATTAGGCATAATTTTTAATGGCGGTATTATAAAAATCATTAAAGTTAATATGCGTGAAAATTTCAATTCTTACTAGTGTAAACTTTATCTTTTTTTTAATAAAAACCACTAGGGTAAATTGAGATAGTGATATTAATATCATGTGATTCGTTTCATGAACTTCAACGATTATTTGCTTCCTTTAGTAAATTGAGATAGCCTTATTTTTGCCATATATTATACGGGTGATATGATACATATTACCCCGCATTTGATGGAAAAATCAAGAGGAAGGATGAAAGTGTCAGATTTTTCGTGAGGGCAATTATTATTATTATATTATTATTTGAGGAAAAAGTTGGGAGGGGATGTTACGTTCAACGGTATCGGGTTGGGTGGATGCTAAACCTTGTACCTACTCGAACCCGCTACAACCACTTCTCCAAACAAAGGAAGGATATTGTTGAAATTTTTGTCCAAGATTCGTATCGAGTTCAACCCCTTAAACCCGAGCATGTAATCACGCGTGGGAGTTCTTGGCCCAATGTACGGCCCGCAAGGCCAAGACATCTAACCCCGCGTGCCGCCTGGAGGTCCACCGGAGCTCCGGATCACCATCACTTATGTCAATGGCGCCGTCGACATCATACGACGTTGCCTTCATGCCTGCAGCGCAGGCGATTTGAAGGCGGATGCTCGAGTGTGCCCGGATGCTTTTTTTTTTTGGGAAATTGCTTCTAGCCCCCAATCTCCTTACAAGTATTCTGTTCACCCCAAGACTTTTTCAACGCTTCCAAAACCCTCAAAAGTAAAATCATAATTTCCTGAGCCTCCAAAATATGAAACTCAAGAGTTTAAAACATGTGAAGGCTATAATATCCTTTCTCTCTCTCTTTCTCATTTTCATGATGTTACTGTGATGATTTAAAATAGGGGGGATTTCTAGTTCCCTTTAAAATTTTCCAACGGCATCAACATCGGCGGTAAAAATTTCCCGACGTTTGTTCATGAGGCAAAGAAAAAAACTTAGGAAAACTAGAATTTTTCGACGCAATACTTGTAAGGAAATGGCGGGAAAGTTTCATCGGCGGGAAGAAAACGACGTTCGTTCATCGGCAAAATACTTATAAGGAAATCGATGACTTGAGGTTAAAGTAGAGTATGTAAATTTATATATTGTTGTTATTTTACCGTAATAAGTTTGTTGTTAAGTTTATGGGTTGGTGGTGAAGGAAGGTTACGTGTTGGTTTTGATAGTTACGAGTTAGTTGTGAAGTTTAAGAGTTACTTGTTAATGTTATGAGTTGGTTGTGAATGTTACGAGTTGGTTGAGAATGTTATGCGTTGGTTGTCAAGGTTACGAGTTGATTGTGAAGGATACGAGTTGGTTGTGAAGGTTGCGAGTTGGTTATGAAGTTTATGCACCGTAATGTGTTTGTTGTTAAGTTTATGGGTTGGTGGTGAAGGAAGGTTACGTGTTGGTTTTGATAGTTACGAGTTAGTTGTGAAGTTTAAGAGTTACTTGTTAAGGTTACGAGTTGGTTGTGAAGGTTACGAGTTGGTTATGAAGTTTATACATTGGTTGTGAAGGTTAGGGTTTGTTGTGAAGGTTGCGAGTTATTTGTGAATGTTACGAGTTGGTTGTGAACCTCAGCAATGAGTTGATTGTGATTGTTGTTAGCTAACCTTCACAAACAACTCGTAACCATCACAACCAACTCCTTACAAAAGTTTACAACCAACTCATAACATTCACAAACAACTCATAACCTTCACAACAAACTCATAACTTTCACAACGAACTCGTAACATTCACAACAAACTCGTAACATTCACAACCAACTCGTAATCTTCACAACCAACTCCTTACCGAGATTCACAATCAACTCATAACCTTCACAAATAACTTGTAACTTCACAACCAACTCGTAGCCTTCATAACAAACTCGTAATCTTCACAACCAATGTGTAAGCTTCACAACCAACATGTAACCTTCACAAACAACTCGTAACCTTCACAACCAACACGTAACCTTGACAACTAACTCATAAACTTCACAATCAACTCGTAACCTTCAAAACCAACACGTAACATTTCTTCACCACCAACTCATAAGCTTAACAACAAACTTATTACCGTGAAATAACAATAATATATAAATTTACATACTCTATTTTAGTCTCAAGTCATTGATTTCCTTACAAGTATTCTGCCGATGAATGAACGTCATTTTCTTCCTGCCAGTGAAACTTTCCCGCCGTTTCGTTACAAGTATTCTGCCAAAAAATTCTAGTTTCCCAAGACTTTTTCTTTACCTCATGAATAAATGCCGGAAATACATTACCGTCGATGTTGACGCCGTTGGAAAATTTTGAAGGGAACTAGAATCCCCCCCCCCCCCCACAAAATCAAATCACCACAGTAACATCATGAATTTTAAATCATCATAGTAACATCATGAAGAGAGAGAGAGAGAGAGAGAGAGAGAGAGAGAAATGATATTATGGTCTTCATATATTTTAAACTTTTGGGTTTTGTGTTTTGGAGGCTCAGAGAATTATGACTTTACTTTTGAGGTTTTTGGAAGTGTTGAAAAAGTCTTCGGAGTGGATAGAATACTTGTAAGGAAATTAGGGGCTACAAGCAATTTTCCTTTTTTTTGGTAGAGGGATTTTGTCCTTTATGCGGATTAATGGAGTTAGATAGCTTGGTGGATGTATTCATTATAGTAGATCAATCATTATAGTATAGACATGTCATGGTACAGTCACACAATGGAGGATAAATAGTTTTTGCAATGTTATTGCAATCTGACCATAATTTAGGGTTAATTGCGGATAGAGCCCCTTGAGAATTCATGTTTGAACTACTACCTCTCTAGTTTTTTGCAGATAGATTGTTTGAGTGAATTTTTTTGACTCTTTTACCCTCTATAGTAGACCTCCTGATATAGACCTAACCACCGGGCTGGGCTAGCTTGAAAGATCGCCCAGCTTGAATTGGACTATTTGCGGGTCAGGCTGGGTAAAACACCTAAAACCGCGGACCGAAACCTAGTCGGAGCCAAAAACCCGTTCTAGGGGGCGGGTGGGGCACAAACCTAAACAAAAACCTAAGGTGAAAACCCGCGCATTGGCTCAAATTTTAGGCCCTAACACAATGCTATTGTGCTTCCATTATTTACAAGAAGCAATTTAGTAGGAGCCAAAACCAACCCCAATATTATTGGGCCTCACTAATTACAAAAATTAGGCTCTTAATTTAGCCTCATACAGTCAATCCGTTATCAAACTAATGATTTGGGCATGCTAAGCCTAGCCCAACCCAACTCCACCAGAAGCCTGGTGGACCGGGCTTTCGGGTCAGGTTTGGGAAGCTCCCAAACCCAAAACAAAGGGCTAAGCTCGGTCCAGAAAATCCCAAGCCAGGCCCACGAGTCTACTTTGAGAGTAAAGGATTAAAAAAAACTTTG